AGGTCATGCTATATGTGGCGCAGCAGCCGGACGCCACTATTCATGGACGGTGTTCCCCCATCAGATGCCCCACTATCTAGCATCTCTTGTGAATTTCTCGCAAAAGAATGGTATGAAGGTATCACTCAGAATGTCTTGTCGTCCATCATAGTAAGTACAATGATTTCCACTATTACAGGCCACTCGTCATTCAAACCAGGGAAAGCCACAAACAACGCTTATCGTAATATCCTGTGCCTGGTGAACAGTGATGTGCTTCTTTCAAGTCTAGTACAGTGTGTTTTTACATTTCCTGGTGAATTTTCAACTGGTCAATGCCCAAATCATATGCAATGATCACAAGAGGAGACTAAATTATATTATTATTGCTGAATGGTACATACTTGAAACTGAGGATCCGCATGTTGAGATACAGCCTCAGCCATCTAGTCATCTCCTTTATGATCTGGATCTGTAATCATTGATCAAGAGGAGAAACCAATGTCAGAGATGCTCCAATCATCCAATCATCAGTTTCAGCCTTCATCATTCCAGGATTGTAGGAGATACTTCCAAGCATTGTTCTTGCAGTTGCGACAAAGTCTATATGGCTCACTGGTGGATAAAATAGCGCTGTACGTGGGATTGATTACATGATACAATATCGCTTCGTTTGCGCTACCAGTGAGGAACCAGAGTCAAATAATGGTCGATCCAACTTTGATTCAGTTGTCTGAATGGACACTAGTGATATCATATATGAGGCATGTTGGCTCTTTGGCCCCTGTCATTTATTGAGTTTGACCACCTATGACTGACCATGTTTACATGTCAACTCTAACCGGTTGGATTGAAAGCTGATGACAATAGAGAATGAAATGGCCCTTGAGGCTACTGAATATTGTAAACATATAATTATTTTCGTGGACATCTCAGCGGCCGACGGCTGGGTCACCAACACGCAACTAACGCGTGCCGTGCCGTCTCTCAGCCGTCTCCTTAGATAAACATCGATTCGGACACTTCAACCTCGTAGCGCACGCCCCGATCACCACGCACACTTCATCCGCGGAGTCAGGAGCCGGTGGAGTTGTGGACGTTGTTTGAGGATGATTGCTAGCCAACAATCCCAGAGAAGCTTCCATCCATTCTCAATGTGAATGTGTTTACACCTGTTAAATCCTTGAATTTATTATTTTCTCGGAGCGCATCAGGTTACGTGATAAATTACATGTGGAGAATATCTGTTTTTGGGAGATGTGAGCAAAAAACCAAACCTTCCATCCACTTGCCACCAGCAATAAATCAAGGACAATTTCAGCTGATCGAAACTGAGAATGAGACCATGATAGTCATCCAGAGTCATTCTTGCTTCTGAATCATGATAATTTAGCCTGTACCCTGACTATAGACTTTCCTCAGGCAGGCAGATTGAATAGAAGGATTGATAATCAGATCACTGGCATACTACTGCCGGGAGTCTTTGTGGATCCAAACCTTGACCTTCATCTATTCAGCCATCTTAACAAGTATGACGACGTAGTCTGAACAGATTTAAAGTGGCATTACCAGAGGGCCAATCTCACTGGTCGGCCGCAATCAATTACCGGCGCTTCCCAGCCATCTGTTTATCATTGCTAATAATATACAGTATAGCTCATGTCAGACATAATTAGCTCGATAAGGGATGCAGTTCACCAATATCCGGATGAGACGAGGTTGGCCTCTGGACTTGAGACTCTTATAGCTCTCTAATAAAATTTTATGAGCTGCTCAAGTTTAGGTTTAGTGGAACCAGTGCCAATGAGCTTGATATTGGTATGATGTGGGATCAGCATTTGACAGCGAGCTGGCTTGGGATCCGCAGTATCAGCGTTTGGAGCTTAAAGCCTGGGTGACCAGATCATGAGCTGCCCAGGTTCCTTAGGTCTTGACCACCATGACATTCAGTCTCGAAGCCGTCCAACTCATTGCAGCATTCATTCAGAGTGCTCTTCATGGTCTCTATCTCGCCTCTTGTGTCCCTAGTGTTCGCTGTCTACTGTGGAATGGGCGTTCCAAATCGCCCCGGTCTCCCTGGACAATTAACTGGCCTCTGGTACTGGCAACCCTGACCATATTTATCACAACCAATCTATCCCTGGGTCTGGGGATGTACCGCAGTATCCAGGTTGTCTTGAGGGCCACAGATCCAAACTCTGCACCCGAAAATGCTTCAAATTGGGTCAACATGGTAAAGGTCCGTCCTCGATTCCATCACAGACTCCATTCGAGCTCAAATGAATATCCTCCAGTCAACTTGCACCTATATCACGATATGTGCAGGCGATGGAATTCTGGTGAGTTGTCAAGTTCTTCAGGGATAGATATCTTATATTTCAACTTTTCCCAGATCTATCGCTGCTGGGTTGTATACTACCGGCGGTACCTTGTCATTGTTTTCCCTGTGCTGGTATGGATAGCAGACAGTGCCGGCGCTATAGTTCTTCTCTGGCTGCAGGGAACTGTGAACGCTGAATCACTCGTCAACAACAACCAGGCCGAACCGATACTCAAGGCTTACACAGCCCTCTCTATTCCCGTGAACATGTTCGCGACATGTACGTCCTAGACCGTGCTTTCATTCCACCCAAGCTTAGATTGATTCAAAGCAATGATTGTCTTCCGCATTTGGAGTATAGACCATGAAAATGCCAAGTTCGATAATTCAACCAGACAGACAACACTTCAGGGAGTTATCCGCATCATTATAGAGTCTGGATTACTCTATACCGCCGCAGTCATTGCGTGCTTTGTTTGTATTTTTTTGGGCACTGATGTCTTCTATGTTGGTACATCCATCGTAAGAAACATTCTCTTCTGTCTTCAGTCTATCTGATGCTGATTGCTGCCTCAGCAAATATCGATGATCGGTATCGCAATGAACCTGATGTTGATCAGAGCACAACCAAGCTAGCATTGAGGAATTCACTATACCATCGACTATTACTGGAGTGGCTTTTTGCACACGAGACACACAAGATGGGACAATGAGCAACCCAGACATGGTTCAACAAGAGCAGAGGCCTGTCGATGAGAAGCACAAAATGATGGAGAGTGCATAAGTGATCATATCACTAGTCTGATTATGATGTGTCTATTCTCTTTTACTTACTACTATGAGCATCTGAAGCATCAAAACAGTTACCAGCATCAGTAAAATGGCCTCTGGAACGAACACAAAACAGAGAAATTCAAAGTGAGTGATGTCAGCGAAGGCGGTGATACAGAAGAGGGTATGAATAGTATGAAGAAAGACAGCAAACACGGTGGTGATAGCAAATTTCATAATGAAAATGCATACAATGAATTATATCCATACTACTCCTTACAGTAAGATTTTCTCATTGCAACTGTAAGAAAGGCTAAATAACTTGAGAGAATTACCATATAAGGTAGTTCCCACGGAGGGGGGCAAGCCTGAAGGTCCTAATAAAATAAATGTACGTCATGGTAAAGTTGTGATCTGGTAGCCCCTTGAGCCCGAGTATTGATAAGATAAATGTTAAACTTTAGAGATCGTTTCAGCCCAAATCTATCCTGTGTCTCGTTTCAATGTAATGTTACGATACTGACACCCGGCCATGCGATGTCGCCCATGACTAAGAGTGAAGGACTCATCGTAGTGTGGTTTGTTAATGCCGAAAACAAATTACCTGGCTCCTGCGGTAAGCATATCGAGAACATCATAGAGTGATGCTGCTGCCCATCATTTCCATATCTTTTGATCCTCTCCGACGTATACTCCCTTCCTTCTGTTGCGTAAAAGCTGTGACAGGAGCACCTGGTGCAGCGCAGCTTCATGATGTCTGTGCCATATCTGTATCTGTGGGGGTGAAACAGTGAGGGTGTGGTCCTGGTAATGTTTGTGGGTTTGCTAACTTGGAGTAACCAATGGGGGACTTGTATCTGCCACCGGAACGGTTGGCCTCTATCCTGCTGGTTTTTAGACATGTGAACAATATTCGAGCGCATTGACAGAATAAAAAAAGACATCAATGAAGCGAACGATGACAGGCGACAGCCTGGAATAAAACCAGGCTATCTGTGAGGACAGATGTTTAGGTGGACGTTCTACCGCTACACCATCATTGCTTACAAGAAGAGAACAAAAATATGAATATATCCCGATCGAACATCCATGATAGCTTCGGTCTCCTCCTCATACTGGATGTGCCTGCCCCTCTTCTCTCATGTTCTGTACTTGGAGATATGATATGAACAATTAAAGATGAAACAATTGAGGATGGTCATATCGTCGAGCGAACTGACAGAATAAGAAAGAGCATTCCCTAGACTGGTGACGACCTGGAATCGAACCTGGGCCATCCTTAAACTCGATGTCAAACATGCTACCACTGGACCATCATCACTCACTACTTCATCATCATGGCTTCAAAGATGTGCACGAGAATATATCCCGATCGAAAGATCGAAGATTCCAGGGCTTCGGCCTAGCACGATCGGACTTACTGACGAGAGTCAGAGAAAACTGCTAACCAAATTCGAGGCCAACCGCTGTGTTCGCCGATAGCGAATAAAGAAACCAAGCAGAAATGTAAGTCCCTATGTCTCGAGGAGCCCAAGGTATCATCCATCTCTCAAGTCCTCCAAAGGACCCAAAGCGGATGTCGTCATTGGTCAACGATACTTTGTTCAGCTACTAGTAGGTAAAAATGACCTGGAATCTGGATCAATACCTTCTGATGCGTTTCGCTTGTCCTTTCTTGGCATTGATACAAAGCAATCCTAGTCTAAATGTAATCAAGTCTAGTTTCTAAGGTCGATGATGACAGCGCAAGGTGCATGACCTACTGCGGCATTTGACTGCGATTCTTCCTTTTTCCCACTTCTTCCTATGTGCCTCTCCTCATAATGTGCCTGAATACCTATAATGTTCCTGCATCTCTCAGGTTCTGAATTTGGAATGGTCATGTCGTCGAACAAACTGACAGAATAAAAAAGCGGTTTTTCTTGACTCAGGCGACAACCTGGAATTGAACCAGGACCATGACGGTTGACAATAGTTGGACGTGCTACCGCTACATCATCATCACTTACAAGAATACAAGGATATGAATATAGATCAAAGCAAGTCTGAGCCCTCAGCCACAACTCCATTACTCAAATAGCTCTCGATTTCCACCAGGTTCATCAATCCTGCCGGCCAAAGTGCATTCATCGATATTCTCTAGCAAGCATAACAGCACCGCCATCTGAAAGCTAATGATTGAGCTATTCACCATGGTAAATACATTCCTCGTTGGCCCTTCTCGGGTGGTCCCCCCGGGCCCGGTGTCTGCTGCATGTCTGTTGGAAGTCCCTTGTGTCACTTGTCCACCACCATCTGTTTAAACTCAGTAAAACAGCTCGGTTGCATACCATTTCATGTCACATCTCTCTCACTGTGATTTTAGGTCATGCTATATGTGGTGTAGCGGCCGGACACTACTACTTCTTCATGGATGGTGTTCCCCCCGTCAAATGCCCCACTTTTTAGCGCCTCTCGTGAGTTGCTCGCGAAAGAATGGTATGAAGTTATCACTCAGAATGTCTTGTCATCTATCATGGTAAGTGCAATGATTTCCACTATTACAGACCACTCGTAGAAAGTCACGGAAAATGCTCATCGTAATATCCTGTGCCTGGTGAACAGTGATGTGCTTCTTTCAAGTCTACATCAGTAACTTGATGTAAAAATTTTTGCGCCTGCTCAAGCGCGAAAAGCGAAGAAAAGGCCAAAAAGCGCAAAAAGCGCCGAAAGAAGAAAGTGGAAAGAGGTATGTACTTTCACAAAAGCTGAGTATTCTGAGTCCCTGAAAAAGCACAAAAAGCGCAAAAAGTTCATAAAAGCTGGAAAAGTCAGTACTGCAGCTTGATCCAGGCAGTTTCCAAATAGCTCATTTTAAGTGTTCTAGACCAGCTTTTGGACTTGTAGCCTTTCAACTTGTGAGAAGCGGAAAAGCGCCAAAAGTCCAAAAGTTTTTCGTCATCTTACTGATGATCCGCATGTTGAGATACAGCCTCAGCCATCTAGTCACCAGTGAAATAGAGGCCGACAAGCGGCATGTACGAGTCCCCATTTTTTGCCTCTTGTCCAGCATCTTGTATGAGCAGGACAAGGAGGACAGATAAGAAATGAATTGAACCTGGAATGATGGTATAAATTGTTGGGAAATTGCTCACTGCTCATCATGTACCGCTCGGGATGCCACACGATCACTGGTGAGTGGCCAGTCTCTTGTCAAGGTGAGAGGACTCAGAAGACAGGACCCAGAAGACCAGCCACCAGGAACTTCAAGCTTCAAGTGTCACTATTGCACATGATATTAAGCAGTAACTCCAAGGTGTAAAGCGCCCCGAGCAGACCATACTATTTTCAGCGCTGTCTTCTAATTAGAACAATAAATAATCATTTTAAGACGCCCGCGGCCCGTATTACCCGTAATGGACGGGATTACGGCGGTCCCGTATACGGCAAAACCCGTACCGGCACCCGTACCGTCAGAGTCTGTCTAAAACAGCTGCCGGTTACGGTTCTGTAACCGTACCTCCCGGCCTTATAACCGTACAGATACGGTGACGGTTGCGAGCCCTATTGTGGTCGTCGTTTTCAAGGTCGATGTCATGCATAACGGGTGACATTGTCACGATGTGCACAGCCACTAAATGACGTAGTCGTTTTTCCCACATGTTCAAATTTTGGTTTTGTGGTGCAACATCCCCATTGACCAGAAATATTGTCTATTTTGTCCTCCTGACATATTACATGCTGCCTAATTGAGAGAAAAGCTTGCCTGGACTGCGGCTCCGTGAAGCGTAAGAACGCACGTGACTATCCCCTTTGGGCGCTGTGATGCCAGCTTCCTGAATCTTGCTGATACCCAATGAACGAGCCCATAAATGGGACTCGTAATCTCCGGCCATCAACGCACTTCTTCGGTGATTGGACGTGACAAATCTGCAAATTCAACCTCTGTTGGTCAATCTCTGACTTGTAGGATCATTGAGAATGCAAGAAATAGATCAACGCCACCGTCGAGCACCGTATCCAATCGACAATGTCTATCAATGGAAAGCACCTAGAGCTCTGTCTCGGTATATCCTTTCAAAACCGTTCGTCGAGTTCAGCCGCTGAAATTGTTCGAGCGACAGGTCGTTGTCCAGGCATTGGTGACGACCGGCAGGCGGTGGACGGTGATACCGCGCTCGTCGTCCATCGACTCGGATGCTTCAGCCTCGCAGCGCGCACCCCGACCAACGCGCACACTTCATCCTCAGCTCCGCGCACCCTCGGGTGTGGGAGGGGATTGTTGTTGATCGGGGCACTTTGGTTGTCTTCATCTCTTTTGCTTTTTACAAATAGTACTCTTCCCGCTTCCCCCTGTGTACCTCACTTCTACCCCTCTCATGTTCTGAGCTCAGAGATATCAAGATTGGAAGATGAATGGCCTGGCAGAATAAAAAGTCCATTGCCTGTGCTACAGACGACGACCTGGAATCGAACCAGAGCCATCCATATTGCGCAGTCGGATGTGCTACTACTGCACCATCATCGCTTATAAAAGATGCCTCACAATTAAGTATGTACTGTAGCTCGAGCTTCCTCCTATATACCTTCTTGAAACCTGATGATGTTCTTTATGTTCTCGTGTGGCTTCGCAGATATATATGGATGTTGTAAGAGATTCTGCGAATAATGAATAATGAATTTGAGGCGTGTCAACAATATTCGAGCGCATTGACAGAACAAAGAAAAAAAAACATGAAAGGAATATTAGGCGATGACCTGGATTCGAACCAGGGCTATCCGTGCAGCAGTGTTGTTAATTGGATGTGCTACCATTACACCATCATCACTTTCAAAGCAGAAACAAAGCATCGTACTTCAGTTCCCTTTGTACCCCGAAGGACTCTATTTCCTGGACTATATCGTGCATTTCGTCGACGATATCGCCCATTTCTTCGCCTATATCGCCTTGCCGCGCTCCGAGACGTTAAAGTACATTGCCATATCTGGCTGTCCCGATAGACGCTTTGCAGGAGCTAGCTCTCTGATACCGTCAGCTATAAGTAGTCTCACCAGGATACACTTGCCATGCAAGCAAACCTTGAATATCGCCGCCAGACCAAGCAGGTTATGTTTCTGACGGTCACGAGCCTTTTCGAACCTTTTCGTGGACCACTGGAGTTTGAGGGCCTTTTCTTTCTGTGGGCTTTATGACTTCGAGGGAAATGTAGATTTTGACAAGGGAATGTTTGTATTGTAACTGTTGTTGGCGCTCTAATAAGGGATTGTAGTTGATGTTCTGAATAATTGCAGATGGTCATGTCGTAGAGGGAACTGGCAACTTAATAAAAAGATCAACTGCAACAATCTAGGAGACAACCTGGAATCGAACCAGAGCCATCCGTATTGGACAGTCGGATGTGCTACCATTGCACTATCATCGCTTCCAAACAAGAAACAAAGGATGACCTTACACCACAGCGGCGGACAGCTGATTCACCAATGCGCTGGCAACGCGCGGTGTACCATCCTCGTCTGATCTTTCTCTCAGCCGTCTCCTTACGGCGAACAGTTTTCTTTGTTCGGCAAAGCTTTGCTGACTTGCTTTGTCCGGGAAAAAGGCGGTAGACCATGGTTGACCTCGATCGGCGGTAGCACCTTGAAGACGCTCGTCGATCATCGATTCGGACACTTCATCTTCAAGCTAACCGATCGTGAGTTCTAATCCAGTCCAAATCCACACTGCTTGGCTTATTTGTTGTCAGCGACTTGTAATGCCCCATTCCTTCACCAGTGGGGTAGAGGCCAACGGGTTCCCCGTGGCAGATATGAGTCCCCCTTTTTTTCACTGGCAATGAAATAATAAACATGCTCAAATTTCCCATGCAGTTTACTATCAATGACCTAGATATGCAGACCCTGAGAACTCTTTAATCCCTGCAGCTGCAGCTACCAAACTTTGGATATATGAACTACAGTCTGAATGAGCACAAAATATGCGCTCAAATTATTTTTAACTGTCGATGGTGAGTGGGTAAAGGTGAAGGACGGGATACGCAAACAGTGTGACATGGCATGACAGTGCCAGGCAATTCACATCGAAAGTGGATTCCAGACAGTTCCACATCAATTTTTGGCAGAAACAAAAATTCTTGAGTCTATGCAAGTCATTGTATAACAGAATGTGAATGAATTTTAAAGCTAGCTGTGTTAGAACCTGCGATACTCACCAAAGTCCAGTTTTGCAAATCATTCTCATTGAGCCATGCCTGCATTGATTCTTTTGAAACTCAACAGGTATAATCTACACTCCATTGTAAATATACTCTAATTTTTTGAGGTCTGTATGTGCACTGCAAGAGCTGAAAAATCAATGTTTGCATATCCGGGTCATCGATAGTACTGTATGCCAGTCGCTCCGCAGTGATATTCTTCTTCTTCATGTCATCATATTTTGTCATCACTGAAAAATCACTGTGGAGCGAATGGGAAGGAGTCTGCACTATATCAACAAAATAAGATCACAGTAGCTAGACAAAATGCATCTCCTTCTCCCCATTGACTCAATCTCCAAGAGACTGGTCAACCAAGGGTAGTGACAGCACAACCGGTATGTCAGTGGTTTTTTAGCGAAAGTTCCATCCAAAAAAAGAGGAAATAAGATTCAGTAGCCTGCAAGAAAAACAATGGTCAGACGGCAGCTCATGAGCATCGGATAAAGGACTCAGAGCCCAATTGAAAGTTGATTAAAAGGTCGGACATGTCAGCAGAGCAAATGTTGGCATAGGAACCCACATGCTCATCCCCTTTGGGCTGATAGCCCTGGAGTAAAAATCGCTCTTGCCCAACAAATGAGCCCCATAAATGGGGACTCGTAATCAGACACTGGAATACTTGGTCAAGTACTTGCTACTTGCCATTACCTCCAATCTACTGTAGTTTTCTGACCAACAGTTCGTCATGGGTCACGCTGGCCTCTGAACTGAACTCAAAAGGTGTGACAGTCACAGTGGTTTTTGAGCTCTAAACTGGCAACTGTGACATTCC